AATTTGGGTCGGTCCAAATTCGAATTAAGTTCGGCTCATGAAAAGTTCGGCGTCTGAACTGGGCCTTAGCCTGCGAACAGGCTCCCTTGAGGACGGAAAAAAAAATTCGGCGATCGCGAGACAGAAGAATTCGGAGAGCGAAACGATCGGGGCGGCACAGGCTATACTGATCGACCGAAAATGCTCCACATTTTACAATGAAAGAACAAAGCCTTAATATAAATAGATATTTGTCGAAGTCTGAAGTGATACGGAGTTTAACTTACCGGTTGTTAACGTACACAGAGTGAGCAGAGCCACAAGAAGCGAGCGTGAAATTTCCATGACTAAGCAACTCGACGAACTGGGCTGGGACACTAAAAATATTTGAACTGGTTGTGGTTTACTATTTATAGCTCACTGGTGTCATGGTGAAGTGTCGCTGAAGCGCTAGCGGTAATGGCCTGATGGGTGTAAGTAAATCGGGGTCTCATTTTATACTTTTTTTCTTCCTTTTTTTTACATATTTTTTAGTCCTTTTTTTTTATCCCGGAAAAAGTCTCGATACAGGCTGGAATAGGATTGCGCTACACTTCATGGCGCAACGATTCGATTTAGCGTCCGGGGCGCTCATTTACTTTTTGTACCTCAAGGGAGGGCGGTTATTCGAGACAGGGCGCTCATTTCTTTTTTGAGAAACAACCGAATGTTCAAAAACAAAATTTTAATACGGTATTCATCAACAAAAGACAACAATGGAACAATAGGAGGATCGAAATGCACCAATCACAGCCGACCTTTGTGATATAAATGATACCGTGCAATCAGTCGACCTTATCGCCTGAAGAAGACTAGCAGTAAGGAGTCGAAACGTCGCGATCTACATCTCAAGTGACTACATCGTGAGACAAACGATAATACACTTTATTATTAACCACTATTCACTTGACTATGAAGATGACTTCCGCTCAGGTTGTCAAAACGTCAGTCACCAACAACAGTTCTTTCCAGAACTACCCTCACCCGGACGATCACACTATACGAAAAACTGACTTTGTTGTTTATTTTGCTTCATCTTTATGCCGACGCTACAATGAGACTGGGGGGTTTTACGCCGCTACTCTGTCTGAGCTTGTTCCGGTGCCGTAAACTAGCAAAGAAAGATGCAAAGCGAAATGGGCGTAAATGCACTCGATCTTTGAGCTCGTTAAACTAAGGTTTACACAAATATTAATTAGGCAGCATTTTAACATATAGGCGGGCTTCATAAATCTGGCCACAGATTGCAAACAAAACAAGAAGGTTAAAAGAAAATCGGTTTAATGCTCGCCTTAACCTACAAACATAGTTAGAGCTAAGGCCGAAAAAATGGCGCCAATGTTGGCAGATAGTTTCAAGACTGCACTGGTTGGCGATGCGACACTGGTTGGCGATCCGTCATTTGGACTCGAAGTTGGATTCGACGGGCCATTACACAGGTCACCTTGACAACAATCTGTCGAGCAGTTGGAGGCCAGGCCGATGCTTTCAAACGTCTTGCACCCTAAGATAAACACAGGTTGTCATCATCGTTATCATCATCATCATCATCATCGCCATCATAATCATCATCATCATTATCATCGTCATCATCATCATCATCAAAACGTGTCAGACTTAGCAAATCGAGAAAAACACCCTTCCAGACTTCAATTTTAATCCGATCGATCATACCTTAGAAAATAATTGGCTCGCATTTTTGGGGGGCCAACATTCCATTTATCGTATTTTTTTTTTATTCCAAATGTCCACNGTAGTTTACAAAAACTTGTTAGTAGGTGTACTTACAGTTGAATTCGAACTGTGGGTTACACGCAAGGCTGCTGGTACAGTTCTTTGTCACCACGGATTGGAAGATCAAAAATGTCGAATTGTAGGCCATTGTCATGCAGCTGTCTGATATCCCACTGCACGTTCTCTTCGTCACATTTTCACTGTCGCATGTTGTCACGCCAGAAAATCCAAGTGCATTTGTACACTCGTAGCATTCCAGTGACAGAGCTGCCGGTAGGTAAGATTAAACAATTAAGATAATTTGTTGTGAAAAAGATTCTCTTATGGGTAGCTTACTACTGGGTAGATTACTTTCTTAAATGCACATTTTTAATTATTAAGATTAGTACAGCTCATTTTGGCGAATTATACAGCACCTAGAGCAGGCATGGATAGGCGCTATATAAATATTTATTTATTTATTATTTATTTATTATGGATAGGTGGTATTGGGGAAATGTATCTAAAGAATGCAAGCGCGAGGCGAGGTCAAAACAGCTGTCCACGGTTGCAGGTTAGCTTTGAGTTTGGCCTCTGTTATGTCGTTGTCGTTCTACGTAGTATCATCCTTGCTTAACAGATGTTATTTTATTTCTTTTGTTGGCTGGTCAGATATTTTACAGATCCT